CGACACGACGGCAGTGATCGTGCAACCGGGAGTGGCTCTCCCGGAACTGTTTGACTTTAACAAACCTCAAAACTGGGATACATATAAATCCCGATTTAACCGCTATTGCATTGTGGCGGGTGTGACAAGTGCAGAGCAACAGGTAAATTCGTTGTTATACGCGATGGGACCGAGGGCGGAAACCATTTTCACTTTATTTAATTTAAATGAAACCGACGCTAAAGACATTATTAAAGTAAAAGTTCGACGGCTTCTTTAACGGAAGGAAGAATATTATTTACGAACGTGCGAGATTCAATATGCGCGTGCAATCTCCGGGGGAGAGCATGGAGGATTTTATTACAGACTTGTGCAAGTTAGCAGATTCGTGCGAGTACGAGAATTTCCGTGAACAATTAATTCGCGACCGGATCGTAGTGGGCGTGGCCGATCGACGCCTCTCAGAGAGATTGCAGCTTCTCGATGGTTTGGACTACAAAAGAGCCGTGGAAGTAGCTAGAAGCTATGAGACGGTACAAAAACAGAACCAATTGTTACGATCGGATGTTGCGGGAACCGGAACGGCGGTAAACCGTGTGCAAAACAAAACCAAAGCTCGTAAAGGAAGGAATTATTCCACGCCATGGAAGTGCTACGGCTGCGGAAGTGAGAAGAAGCATGCAAAAGAGGAATGCCCCGCGCGTAGTTCGAAATGCAATAAATGTGCTAAAGAAGGCCATTGGGCGAAAGTGTGCAAATCCGGAACGGCAGATGGCAGGTCTGAGAAGAATAAACCCAAGACTGCCATACAGCAAGTAGAAGATGACTCTAGTACAGACCCGTTCTTTGTGGCGACGGTGAGCCAATCGCAGGTTCCATCGGACGAGCCGTGGCGAGCTAAAGTGACGGTAGATGGCGTTACAATTTGTTTTCAACTGGACCCCGGTACCGATGTGACTCTAATTACCGACAGTACGTACGAAGAAAATAGACAAACTTTTGGTAAATTACACACCGCGGATCGTAACCTAGAAAGTGCTTCCCGCGATTCGTTGAAGTGTATCGGCATGTTCACTACCAGACTTAGTTACGGAGATCGGGCGTTGAATGCCAACGTGTTCGTCGTAAAAGGACTACGGCAAAATTTGCTAGGACGAAGTGAATGTGTCGGACTAAATTTAGTGATGCGGTGCTCACAAGTTTCTGCACAGAGCACTGTAAGACTTTTTACAGAGTTCCCCGGTTTGTTTAATCGCCTAGGTCTTTTGAAAACGTCGTACAGTATTAAACTTCGTAAAGACGCGAATAATACATGGTGGCAGCGGTGGGGCGAAACTCGAAGAAATGTTGCAGATGGGTGTCATTGAGAAAGTAGATGAGCCAACTGACTGGTGCAGCGGTATTGTTCTAGTGAAAAAACAAAATACAGATGACATTCGTTTTTGTGTGGACTTAACCAAACTGAATCAGGCGGTGGAACGTGAGAATCATCCGATGCCTACCGTGGAACATACGTTGGGCCAGCTGAATGGGGTCAAATATATTACGAAACTTGACTGTGTGTCAGGATTTTGGCAGGTGCCGTTAAGTGAGGATTCCAAGAAGCTAACTACGTTTATTACCCCATTCGGGAGATTTTGTTTTTGCAGACTTCCTTTCGGAATTTCGTCCGCTCCGGAGTGCTTTCAAAAGCGAGCTTCACAAATTCTGGAGGGCCTAGAGGGAGTCGCTAACCTCATAGACGATATAATAGTGTGGGGGAAAACCATACAAGAGCATGACGCTAGGCTTCGCGCGGTATTGCAGCGGTTGGAAGAAAACAACATTACCTTGAACGCTAATAAGTGTCAATTTTGTGTACAGGAGACGACGTTTCTTGGACATCGCATTTCAGCGGATGGTATTAGTCCAGATCCTTCTAAGGTACAGGCCATCGCCGAGTTGACTGCGCCGAACGACGTTACGGGCGTTAGATCTTTCCTAGGAATGGTGAACTACCTGGGAAAATTTGTACCGCGATTGTCCGAGACTCTTACTCCAATTTATAATCTATTGAGAAATAATGAAGAATTCGTGTGGTCAGCAGAATGTGAAAAGGCGTTCAGATCAGTATTGAGGGTGTTGAGCAGTTCCCCCTGTTTGGCAATTTTCGATCCAAATCGACGGACCGTCGTTTCAGCGGATGCTTCATCCTTCGGACTTGGAGCAGTACTTCGTCAGGAAGACGAGACAGGAGAACTACGTCCTGTTGCTTACGCGTCAAGAACATTGACCGACACCGAGAAGCGGTATGCTCAGATCGAAAAAGAAATCTTAGCTCTTACTTGGGCATGTGAAAGATTTCACGATTTCATCTACGGGAAATTCTTCTATTTGGAGACGGATCACCGGCCACTAGTACCACTACTGATGACGAAAAACCTTGACGAATTGTCGCCTCGTCTGCAGAGAATGCGTATGCGGTTGATGCACTATGACTTTGAGTGTTTCTTTACAGCCGGTAAAGATATTCTTGCAGCGGATTACCTATCTCGCTCTCCATTGAAGATGTCGGGTAACCTCGATCTCCAGGAAGGAATTTCTACACATGTCCAGTTCGTGTTTGAGCAATCTCCAGTATCCGATACGATACTTTCAAGACTTTTGAATTTGCAAGCGGAGGATCCCGTGTGTCGTGAACTAGTAAAATACATTCAAAATGGATGGCCATGTAAAGACCGGATCAGCGCTTCAGTGAAATCCTTCTACGAATTTCGCAACAATCTCACCTTGGCCCGAGGGTTTATCATGTTTGGCAACCGATTCTACATTCCCACAGGACTTCGTCGGGAAACCTTAGAAGCTATCCATAATGCTCATCAAGGCATTGAAAAATGCCGGGCCCGCGCTAGATACAGCGTTTGGTGGCCGAAATTATCTGCGGAGCTTCAACAATTAGTGGACAGCTGCGCGGTGTGCGTGCAAAACAGACCCGCACGATCGGAACCGTTGAAGCCATCTAATTTTCCGGATCGACCATGGCAAATTATTGCCATGGATTTATTCAAACACAGTACCAGTTGGTATCTAGTAGTTGCAGACTTTTATTCCCGGTACCCGGAAGTGTACCAACTACCAGATTTACGGTCAATAACCATCATTGTTCGTTTGAAGGAAATATTTGCACGCCATGGAATCCCGGATTTGATCAGATCCGACAATGGAACACAATTCGACCCACTACGCACAACAGAGTTCCGGGCCTTCAAGAAAACATATGGATTTGAGCACGAAACATCGTCCCCTCATTTCCCTCAAAGCAACGGGTTCATAGAAGCAATGGTGAAAACCGTAAAAAGCGGCTTGGAAAAGTCCAAGGATTTTAACGTTTGGTTATTAGAATACCGTACAACTCCTTTAAAGTGCGGTTTTTCTCCCAGTGAATTAGCCATGGGGCGGCGAATTAAGTCTTTTCTCCCTGTTATACCATCCCTACTGATGCCAAAAACAATCAACCGGGACACACTGCTGTCTAAGGAAAAGGAGAGAATGGATCGCCAGAAGAAGGATTTTGATCGTCGTCACCACAAGAGCGAGCGCGATGATTTAGAAGTTGGCGATCGTGTCTGGATTCGCGATTTACGCCGTTGGGGCGTTATACAAGAACGCGCGGTCCAACCAAGATCCTATATCATACAATCAGATACAGGAACATATCGGCGAAACAGAAGCCATTTACATCGTCTGGAGGCACCTTTGGGATATTTTGATACGCCGGAGGATACGCCTAGGAGGGAGGAGTGGCTTACCCCACCACAATCTCCGGGAAAACTCAGAACACCGAAGGAGCCGCCTTCATCAGTTGTAAGACAAGAGTTACTCGCATTACCTGCTCCAATGGAGGATGCTATTGACCCAGTTCCTCAATTACCTGAAAAGAAGACGTACCCTGTACGCGACCGAAAGAAGGTTAGCCGGTTGGGCTACGAAACACTGGGTGGCCCAAAATTGTTTTCGAAACAGAACGGAACGATACTCAGGAAGGGGAGATGTCGTATGATGGTATCG